AGAGAGAGCGAAACGAGGGTGGCATCATGCGACACTTCGGAGCCATAAGATGATACATGGAGTCTATCACCAAGTCATTCGCGACAACGTTGGGAAAATTCCTCGCTTGTCAAGGAAGGACTTACTCACATTCTGTGAGCTTAGCAAATCTTCAGACCGAACTACTCAACCAAGAAAAAGTCGCCAGGAGATGGGGCGACGTTAGTGTTTATGGCCTAACATACTCAACGATACACCTAGCCATACTTGTACACACCTACATGCACTTTTACAACCTGTATACAGTCCCATCCCAACACGAGATAAGACTCACAAGTTTTCTAAACAGAAAATTGAATTTCGGTAACCACCTATGCTAAAACGAACATGGACGCGACTAATACCTCTGAAAATTCGTTGAGTGAAGAAAAAAATATTCAATGAGTACTGGAAGATGTTTCCATTCCGGCGGTCTTGTAAAAATAAAGAAGCAGAGGAGGACCCGGAGAAAGATAAAGTGAAAATAAAACGTGAAAAGTGCATAATTTACCATTTACTTCACCAATTTACCGCACCATTGAAACAAAATAATCGGAAAATGCGCTCGAGCTCCTGGTTCAGCATGAAGTGGAGGTATACGTAAGGCCGTAGATTACCACCCCTTTTCCCTTCCCCTCGGGGTCTGTCTTGCCTATGGTTCACTCTGAACCTTGGATACAGCAGTAAGCGACCTGCGTCAAGAAATTTCCGATTCAAATGCCCTTATGTTTTTCGAATTTAACTCGATCCACAGCTATTTAAACAGGGAGCTGGTATATGACTGGCCGCAGTAATACTCTGCGACGCATTTGCAACACGAGTGAGGTTTACATATGTTGATTGTGTGACTTAGTTGTCTCGCAGTTGATAGATATTTATTCGACATTCAGACTGTAGGGAAGTTACGAAGTACGAGCGCTGCCTTACTTCGTAGCACCAACAAGACAGCAGTGTTCTAATCAAAATGCATTGCTTGCGAACATGGTTCAAAATTATGAGCAGAAATAGCTCCTGACATAC